TTTTTTTTTTTTTTTCTGTGGTGGAAACTTTCATAAATAAAATCATTATAAAAGCACAAAGTAAAATACACCATCATACCATTCTGGATAGTCCTCCTTGGGTTTAATAAGAGGATCCTCGCCTTGTTTGAAGATGTTGACTCCGATTGCATGTGTGCAAAGTCTCACTGGATCCTTACAGACTTCTGGACCCTTAAAAACTTCCTTTACCATTCCTTTACCTTTGCCTTTGGTTACTAAAAACAAAAAAAAAACAAGAATAATATTTCATAAAAATAGCTATTTAAATATTTTATAATGTAAAAATGTCATATGAAATATGAATATAAAACCATATAAATAAAAATAACAGCATAATATAATATAATATTAGACAAATTAATTCTTAAGGTTTTGAAAATTGGACCTACAAGGTCAGAAGTTGCAGGGTAATGTTGACATTGTATGGATACAAATAAAAAATGCGTACAAAACACACCTTACCTGGTTTCTTACTAGCATAACTACGGGACTGAATCCGTAGAGTGTTAACAAAAAGATCGTTATAAGCATTAAGAACAGGCAAGTTTATCCTCTTAAAACAATGAAGTACACTATGTGCCATTGTGCCTCATCAGATCTTCCACCATGCTGTCTCTGAACTGTACATGTACGTAAGAAGTCCGTCCGGGTGAAACTGCAACACGCATGCGCACTTTACGCACACAGTCTAGATCCAAAATGTCCTGTTGGCTCAAACGTCACTGTTTCCAATAGCGCTCTATATCAAGCAGCACAATAATAATTTGTAAACATACAGTGTTACACAATCTGAACCAAGAAGGTGCAAAATATAAAAGAAATAAAAGTAAAACCACATCATTGAGCTAAACCGGTCACTCATGTCCTCTAGAGGGCAGTAAACCCGAGGCTAATTAATAAACATCATCTGTTTGGACGAAAGCTGGTTGATACAGAGAAAATGTCGGAGTACAACTCGGTTCAAAAAGGCTCTTTAAAGCTCAAAGGAGTCTCTGTAGCAAGTAAAAAGTGTGTATTTGTTTTATCTTAATGCTTACCTAGATATATATTTGTATCTGTGTTGTGGGAAATGTTGGCATTGCATTCACGGCAGCCGTTAGCTGTTATGCTAGCTCAGTGTTGTTGTGCGAGTTATATAATACAACAAAGTGATTGACTATAATTTACTTTTTGCGTTTTTTTTCCTCATAGGAAAAAGAAGAAGGACAAGGAAAGGAAGCGTTTAGAGGAGCAGGTTTTGACCAGTCAAAACGAAGAAGAAACGAAGAAAGTCTATGTTGATAAAAGGACACCAGCACAGATTGCGTTCGACAAATTACAAGAGAAAAGGGTATGTATGATATATATATATATATTCTGTTATTCAGTTGACATATAAGACAAGATCATTACGTAATTAATTGACTTTCTGTGATTATTTCGAATGCTGAGTAATTAAATTACGTAATTTCTAATTTAAGTATTTTTTACTGACTGAAATTGCGGTTTGACTTGCTATTGAGTTGTATAATAATATTCTCTCTTTGTGACGTTTTAATAGCAAATGGAAAGAATTTTAAAGAAGGCCTCCAAAACACACAAGAGAAGAGTTGAGGTAAGTCTGTCACTACTACTGTTGATATTCATATTTTAGGTAGCCTGTTTTTTTGTGTGTGTGTGTGTGTGTGAATAACATCTTTGTTGTGTGTTACAGGATTTCAACAGACATCTGGACACACTGACAGAGCATTACGACATTCCCAAAGTCAGCTGGACGAAATAAATATCTATGGATTTTCCACTGGGTGCATTCAGAGCAAAATCAACTGCCATAATGTTACCATACATGCTCCTTGCTTACTCTGCAACAAAGTCCAGAGTGATTTTTCTCAGTTTTCATTTTCCAGTTGGGATGTATTAAAATTATTCACTGTATATTGCGATTTTAATTTTTAAACTTATTCCTTATTAAGGTCCAAACGTTTGCCTATAGCGATCATTATATTTTGTAGTTTTTGGTTAAACTATTTAAGATTTTGATTGGGTTTTGTTTATTGTAAGGCTTGACCACC